GTGTAGACTTTCAGTGGAGTTTTTCATCTCCTGGAAATCTATTTGCATCTGTTTTATGGATTCCATTTGTTTCCTATTTTGGGATTCCATCATGTTCCTCAGCTCCTCTCTAGGTTTAATCATGTCTTGCACTAGGAGCACAATTTCTCTTGTTATCTGAGAAATTATTTCTGATTTCATTTTTTCCAGATCCTTTTTTGCTGCCAGTTCAGTGGGTCCAGGTGGTTGAGTATCAAAGTGTTCCATCTCATTTCCTTTTGGGGTTGGTGTAGGTGATCTGGAAGTCTGGTTTTGAGACTTATTTACATGTTTTCTCATTTTGAGTGTGGGGGTGGTGGGGTGCTGTTGGTGTCCACGTGGCTTACCTCCTCTGACCTGGGAGAGATGGGCCAGAGGCTGGGAGCAGATGTAGGGATGATGGCCTGAAAGCCCCTTCCTCTAGCCCAGGAGTGGTGGGACATGTGGTGGACCAGAAGTCCCTTCCTCTGAACCAGGATCAGTGGGACTGCAGCTCAGAAGCTCCTACCTCTGCGCCAGGAGTGACCGGACTGATGGCAGGCGAAAAACCGTTTCTTCTTGGTTGGGCGTGGCGGGAGGGATGATGGCCAGGCAGCCCCTTCCTCTGGACCAGGAGCAGTGTGAAGGCAGCTCAGAAGCCCCTACTTCTGGGCAGGAATTCTTTAAATGCTAAGAACTTGATTAGGTCCAGTACAGTGGTCTGGTGGTCTGGTGTGCTCGGCATCTTTGTAGTGTGGAACCAGGTGGCTGTATGGAGAAGAGGCCAAAGGAGTGGGGGCGGGGTCCAGTGGATTGCTGCTGGGGCATATACTGATTCGGTGTTTTCCGCATGACTGGTTACCTCAGGACCAAGTCCACAAACCTGCCTGTCTGCAGAGGGCTGATTTGGTGTTTTCTGCTTGGCCAGGGACCCCGGGACCACACCCACAGACCTGCCTGTCTGCAGCGGGCTGACTCAGCGCCCTCCACCTGGCTGGCAACCAAGGATCCCACCCTAAAATATACAGACACATCCCTTACTTTGGCTTACATGATTCATTATAATATGGATGTGGTTCTACCCTTAACCTTAATGTTATGTAATGTTTTTATATAGAAAATTTGGATCTCAAATTCCTCATGTCATTCAGACCTTTAATCTGGACTCTCTTATTACATAAATTTCACTCCTATGTTTTCATTTATCAGACAGATAGAGAAAAATCACATTTGTCTTTGGTATTTTTATTCAGATGCAAGCTACTGTAATTATTTTATTGTGAACAGTGGTTTGAAGATGATATTAATATATATTCAGCAGTACATGTCAGTTAAAAAAATAAATGTAGCTACCAGTTAGAGCATTATGCACAATATAATTAAAAACATTTCTGATCTTGAAGAGTTTTACATGTGGCTAGGACCTACAGTGAATTAAATAACTTACAATAAATAAAATGTTTAAAAATAAGTTAAATGTTGAGCAAGTGGTTCCTAAAACTAAATGATCAGAACTGTCTGATGTGATGCAATAGAAGGTAAATTGAAAACTATTCCTATATGATTAACATAAAAATATATCAAAACTTGTGACAATTAGCAAAATTCCTTTCTTTCTTATGGCTGAAGAATATCCCATCATATAAATGTACCACATATTCTTTATCCACTCATAAGTGGACACGTGCTATTTTTCCACTTCTTAGCTATTGTGTTAGTTCTGTTTTTAATTTCTTATGGATCTTCCATACTATTTTCCAAAGTAACTGTACTAATTTACATTCCCCATAACAGTATGCAAGTGTTTTTTGTTGTGTGCATCCCTGCCAGGACTTATCTTTAGTCTTCTTGATAATAATCCTGCCATTTGCAACAAAAACTAGAGATCATTATGTTAAGTGAATTAAGTGCAAAAAGACAGTACTGCCTGATTTCACTCATATGTGTAATCTATAAAAATTGATCACATAGAAGTTGATAGTAGAATTGTGGTTGCCCAGTCTGGGGAGACTAGGTATATGGGGGATTGATAGAGGGTGTTTGATAGATGTAGACTAAATTACAGTAGATAGAAGTATGTTCTGATATGCTACTACATACTAGGTAACTATAGAAAACTGTAATGTACTATATATTTCAAAAGGCTAAAAGAAAGAATTTTGAAAATTTTCCTAATAAATAAATATTGAGTGTTTGAGGAAACAAATATGTTTAACCTGAATTGAACATTATTCATTGTGTACATATATTGAAACATTATCTATTGTCTTATTAATATTTCCAATTTGTGATTTTACATATCAATTTTAAAAAACTTGTGGTATGGAGGTAAAGCAAAGCTTTGGGAAAATGTATAGAACTAAATTTAGCATGAAGGTAAGTAAATTTAAATAAATGTAAAGTGATTTAAATAATAGTTATGGCAGAAATTAATTCAGGAAAAGAAGAAGACACAATGAACAAAATCTAAGTAAGAGTCACAGAACAATGACAAACAGTAGCAGTGATAAAAACTGGTCCATAATTATAGGTATGGTAATGTTTTTAAATGTTTTTCAAAATAAAATTGAGTTTACCTATTAACATAATTTTGACATGAGTGAACTAAGATGGTAGAGATCTAGGAAGATGATGTCAAAAATATTGAAATGGAGTTAGAATCACTGGAAATGGAGCTAGAACATTGGATTAGTTTTTATGAGTGTAAACAAGGTATAAAATTAGACATAAAAGGTTACAAAACAATCTATTTAAGTATGAGAAATAATATATTAAAGGCTCTAATCATCACCGGTTTATATTTCTCTCTGTTTGTGCAGTACGATCCCAAAGTCCTAATAAGCTTTGCCGTAGAAGTCTATTCAGTGATTCTAAATTTCATGTGGTTAAGAGTATTAAAAAAATGGAAATTTTTGCAGACTAAAATCAAATAGGTAAATTTGCCTGAAAGGTATAGGTTTATCTTAAATTGTAATAATTTGAACACAGGAACACAACACTATACAGTAATATAGAAAAACACCCAAGCAGACCTAAACATATATGCTGTTTACTATGTTGCTACATAGTTTGAATGACATTAACTTATTAGAGATGATACCATCTATTAGTTACTATTGCCACAATTAGTTTACATGTACAAAAATTAAAATTTCTTTAGAACACTGGAAAAATAGTATTTCATATCTTGTTCCAATAGTAGCATTCCTTGCTGGAAAGGATAGAATACAAACCTAAAGAAAAGACATGCTAGTGAAAATAAGAAGCTACTTTTTTTGACCAACTATGTGAGATATTAGCATTTTAGTTAAAAGTGGGATAATTTTTAATTTGACCCTCAATTCTTATCTGTTTAAGAGAATAGATTTATTGAAAATGTTTTTGATTCCATTTTCAGGTATCATTTCTCTCAATTTTCATAGTTCTTGCTGATCCAATCCTATTAAGTTATTTAAAATGAATGGGTAAGGGGATTTTGTTATATTATTAACTTTGGAACTTATTTCTGAACTCCTATTATCTGTCTTCCAGATTACTGAAGATGGTAAAACAACAAGTTCTTCCTCTCTTCATCCTAATATTATAATATTCTAGTGGAATGACTTACTAATTTTGAATAGTTTAATGAACTATTTTCCTTTTAAAACTACAGCAGAAATGACATCACTTGTAGTGAGCCTGTGAGTATATTTGTATTTATTAATCAAGGAAGAATACATTTGTTCAGTTGTAAATAACAAGCTCTTAGTCAAATGATTATCTGTATAAATTTCCCTACTCAGACACAACAAATAGATATCATACTTCTGTTGTGAGCAATCTGTGGTCACTATGTTTTAGATACTGGTATTTTATCACAAAAGAAAAAATCTGTAAACCCAAAGAAAATTAAAAGTCAAGAAAGTAATGTTTTAAGTGTGAGGCAATTCCTCTATGATAATTCCTCTAGAAATAAGCATTTCTGAAAAATCAAATGTTATCTCTTGGGAGCCACATTAAATATCACCACAATTATATAACAAACACAAAAGAAAGAACTAAGAATATAAGCAGACTAGTATAACCACTATGATAATTAGTGTAGAGACTTCAAAAATTTTAAAGTATGAATTCCATTTGACCCATCTATACCTCTCTTAGGTATACTATGCCTTCTAGAGTTAAATATATCATACAATAATGAGAAATACATTACATAACCATGTTTATAGTAGCACAACTCAAATTAGCTTTTGGAAATAGTGTAGATGTCCACCAACAGAAGGATGGAGAATCAAAATGTGTCATGTGCATGTAATGGAATATTATGCAGCCATTAAAGTGAAATTATGTCATCCCCAAGAAAATAGATATAACTTGAGACTATAACACTAAGCAAAATAAATCAGATACAGAATGTTAAATATTAAATGGTTTATCTTACATGAGAAACCTAAAATATAAATAAATTAAAAACTAAAATTTAGGAGAAATGGTAGGACACAAGGAGGCAAACATTTTTCATGATGAGAAATAGAATTGGGGGGTTCAGGAAATGGAAAGAAGGATTGAAAATGATCAGGAGATACTATGGACATGTAACACTTACCCAAATAAACATACATATTATGTTTTGCAAATGTACATTAAAAATGGGAGAAGCAGAACTAATATATAAACACTGTAAAAAAGTTAAAATTTACAAACTAAAAATCTAAAAAGCTGTCTTTTTAAAACCCTACAGATATAAAAATACACTTTTAAGTAATTGATGGGTATAAAAAGAAAAAATTTAATAGTAATTATAATTAAATATTGAAAATAATAAAACTTATTTGGATATGTTTATAAAATTAAATATTTAATTTAGAAATATTAAAGTTTGAAAATTAATGTCAAATAAGGATGTGGTCAGTCTATGATATTGAGAGATAATCCAAAAATAACCTAAGTAACAAAATAGGTGGAAATAATTTTAACAAAATCAGAAAATTAAAATTTAATATTGTTCATTGAAGTTAAAAATTGATTATTTATAAGAATATGTTTAGTAAAATAGAAGACCATTTAGAGAGGTTGAGATGGAAGTTGGAGATACTAAAGTAAAATTAAATATGCTATTAAAATTAAAATATAAAACAAGTGCAGGTGAAAACTTTTATTATAGTCAGTAAGTAATGAGGCAACCATTAAAGTGTTGAAACTGTTCACAGTGGATTTGAGAAACTGAGTATGCATAGATTATTTAATATAGAAATTTTAAAATAAGATTGCTGGTGTTTTGTCTTGTGGGGGTATAAACTATAAACTTTGGAGTTATCTGCCATACAAAAATTATATATAACCCTACTAGATAGTAATTAACCTGAGTTGGACTCTGCCTCTCCAGAATTCTGAAAGAGTACATTTGATATAAAATCAAGATCATACCAGAGGACCAGTGGAACAGATTAGAAGATACTGAAACAACTCCAGGCAACACTCAGCCACCTCATCTTTGACAAAGGAGCCAAACATCCTCATTGGAGGAAAGATAGCCTCTTTAATAAATGGTGCTGGAAAAATTGAGCTTCAACTTGCCAAAGATAAAAACTAGACCTATAACTCTCACCATGCACTAAACTAAAATCAAAATGGAATAAAGATCTAAATTTTTAAACAGAAATACTAAACTGGTTGGAAGATGGGTTAGGTAGAACTCTTGAAGACATTGGCATAGGAAAAGATTTTATGAACAAAACCTCAGTTGCATATGAACTAGCACAAACAATCAACAAGTGTGATCTCTTCCTGTTAAAAAGCTTCTGCACAGCAAGAGCAATCACCAACAGTGTGAAGAGACAACCCACAACGTGGGAAAAAAATTTTTTCCAGCTGTTCCTCAGACAAAGGTCTAGTATTTTGAATCTATAAAAAGCTTTAAAAAATCAGACCTCCCAGATTTAAAGACCTAATCCAAAAATGGGCATCTGAAATGAACAGACATTTCTCAGACAAAGAAGTAGAAATAGCAAATAAACACATGAAAAAATGCTCCACATCACTGGTCATTCGAGAGATGCTAATGAAAACAATACTGAGATTCTACCTCACCCCAGAAAGAATGGATGCTATGAAGAAATCAACCAATAACAAATGCTGGTGGGGGAGTGGGGACAAAGGAAACCCACTCCACTCTTGGTGGGAGTGTAAATTGGTGCAACCACTATGGAAATCAGTATGGAGATACCTCAAAGAACTAGGATTAGAGGTTCCATTTGACTCAGCTATTTCCCTGCTGGATATCTTCCCAAAAGAAAAGAATCACACCACAGTTGTATATGTGCACCCATGTTCATAGTGGCAGAGTGTGTAATAGATAAAACTTGAAAACAGCCCATTTGCTGATGGACTGGAGACTGGGTAAAGAAAATATATATTTTTTTATAAAATGGAGTACTACTCAGCCTTAAAGAATGAGAAATTAAAGACATTTATAGCTAAATAAATGCACATTGAGGCCATACTCTTAAGTGAAATAAATAGGACACACATGTATAAATACCAAATAGTTTTTCTGGTGTGAGAAACTGAAAGAGTAAATAAGGATCAAAAGGGATAATAGATAATGTGAAATAGGAAGAAAAGGTCCAAAGGGGAAAGAGAAGGATGAGGGGTTGGGGAAAGGAAAGAAGGGAATGGAATTAATATGAGAAAAGGAAAAAATGGAAACAAAGTATTTGTAAACAGGGAGGTATGGAGGAGTGGAAGGAAGGGCAGGGGAATGGGGAAAAAATAAGAACCAAGATATATTATATAAAGTTACAAATTTCCAATGGTAAATGTCATTGCATTGTATACCTAAAATGTACCAATCAAATTAATTTTAAAAATCCAGATTATGAGACTATCAATTGAAAGAACATGAATTTATTTTATATATTTTCAAGTTTCAGATAATTTTTAACAAAAATGTTGCAGAAATAAGCACAAAATAGATAAAAAGACATAAATATACAGCCTATAAAACATATTAAATATTGAAGAAAATATGAAAAATTAAATATATTAGAAAACTTGCTATCAAAACTGTGCCAAGATAGGTATCTTTCTAAGGCAAATGCATGCAAACATAATTAGGTATAAAAAGATATTTAATACCTTAGTCAGCCAGCCTAAAAATTCTCACTAAATTAATCCCACAATTATGTCATTTTTTGTAAAATAGAGAATGGGTAACTTGTAACTTGAATATGAAGTTCAAGATAGGAACACTGGGATGATAAGTTTATTACATCACATATTCTGGTAGATCAGCTTGAGGAAGGAAGATAATTTTAACAAATTGTTTATCTGGAAACTACTAGACTTAGTAGAGTCATGTGCCTTTAAATTGATATACTAAGGCTGATGATGTATGTCCAAGGACTTTGGACACATTTGCTAGAGATCATATATCAGTACGTTACTTGGGACAGTTTTTGTAAAAATAAAGAGTTAGAAAGAAATTTAATGCCTTTCAATAGAATGATATTACCATAAAGGAATAAGTAAGAGTTGCATATACATACAACAATAAGTTTCTAAAAACAAAATGATGAATTTTAATTAATAAAAGACTACTGAAGGATAATATGAACATTGTAGCAAAAGCTTCTTATGGTCGTGATCCAAAATGTCTGCCCAAAAAGCTCATTTTGTTCAAGATTGTTTTGCTGATGGACTTTTGGAAATTGAACATGACTGGGTAATGAGGTCTTTAATTTCATTAATGGATTCATCCATTGATGAGATCATAATTTTATGGTGTTATTGAGAAGTAATGGAAAATTAGGAGGTAGGGTCTAGCTGGAGGAAGTAGTCCCCAGGAGAGCTTTAGTCACTATCTCATTGCTGAGACACAATACTTGATATCCCCAGCTAAAAGAGGAAAAGTTTAGTTTGATTGACAGTTTCAGAAATGTCATTCCACAGTCAGCCTGCTTCAAGGCAGAGAAAGCATGATGGAAGGGTCTGGGCAGAGGAAAATTGCTCTTTGCATCCAGGAAGCAGAGAGCTAAGGGAGAAGCAGGAATGGGAAATGTATGGATCCAAATTATGCTCCCAGTGACCAAGCTCTAACCAGCTCTGGCTTCCACACAGCACACTCTGCTACTGGACTCATTAGTGATGAATCCGTTGGTGAGTATAACACTCCTATGATTTACTCACATTCCAAAAGCCCAGCCTCGGAACACATGAGACATTTGGGAAACCACCTAGTACTAAACCATAACATCCTCTCCCTTACCCCCCAAAGACTTACGTTCATCTCCTTAGGCAAATGTATTTAGACCATCTCTAAGTATCACCCAAGTTTTAACAGTTTCAGCACTGTTGAAAAGTCCAAGTCTAAAGTCTCATTTGAGATTAGAGACAAATTGTTAGCTTTGAGTCCCTGGAAAAATAAAAAAGAAAGTTAAACGCTGCCTGTGTAAAATGACTCATCATAAATGTTTCCATTTGTTGTTAAGATTTAATAGAATTGGATTCTAAGTCTCGTATTATTCTTTATTTCCATCTCTCTGAAAAAATACTTTAGGAAGAAAAATACAAAGAGATGGGTATGACAAAAAGGTATTGATTGAAAAAGAGTTACATGTCATAGTGTGAAAAACTGAATCATGATTGGTTCAGTTGGAAACACAATCTAATGTGGAGTTATAGTGTGATAACATAAGTCAGAAAATAGGTTTGCTGGGTTCAAAACTAGCTATGAAGAACTTACATCAAGATTTAAACTGCTTATGCCTTACTTTCCTGACCTGTAAGATGAGGTAATTAAAATCAAGTAATTAAAT